AGAGTGATATTGACGCTGTAGTAGCATGGAGTGATTCGAATCGGTTGACATTCAATAGCAAACAAATGCAAGACAATAACTTTTACGCGGAAGCGGTCCTGTATTGAAAGTATTTATAAAATATATGACGCTCCTTTGGAAAGAGTTGACAAAATTAGAGACTTAGGCTTAACATTAGATACTAAGATGGACTTTCACCAACACGTGATAAACGTATGCAATTCGGCGAGTAGGATCCTGGGATTCATTATCAGAACTTCCTCCGAATTTAGTAGTTCTTTAGTGGCTAGAGTATTATACAATGCCTACGTACGTATTAAATTGGAATATGGGGCAGTAATTTGGGACACCCACGAAAAAAAATATTGCTTCATGATAGAAAAGATACAACGAAAATTTGCTCGATGGTTGTACAAGAAAAACTATGGATATTATCCGTTCTTGTATCCATCAACTTTTGTCTACGGTATGGTCGACCTAGAAGCACTGGATATGAGAAGGAAATTGCTCCTCATTGTACACTATTTATCAATTATTTACCAAAAGATTGATTCGCCACACGTGCTAGAAAGAGTACGCCTTTTGGTACCTACTCGCATCCCGCGTGATGCCGAGGGTTTATTGGAGCCGCGCCGGCGGCCGCGCTTGCTGGAGTGGCCTGGCACCCGAACCGTCCACGCTGCCCAAGCGCCCACAGTACGTGCATTGCGCCTGATCGGGGACATGCTCGCTCAATACGATCACTTAGACCTGTTTGCTGACGGTCTAGGGAGATTAATTACCATGACTCGCCAGATTTTAGATTCTGGGTTTTAATCTGTAATTTGACATTTGACAGTGTATTTCCTAGTTTATTTTAATTTGTAATTTATTTATTGTTTTCACGTTTTTAATTATATCTTTTGACATTTTTGATTCTGTAACTACGTTGACTTTGATGTATGTTTATTTTTAATTTTGACTTTTAATTGTGATTCCACTTATGACTATTTCTATATAATGAATGTTTTTGTTTTGCATTGCATTGACTTGTTGGTGTGTTGGACTAGCTCTGTAAATCAGCATGTGAAACTGAATAAATAAATAAATAAATAATTCTATACGCTCTTTGTTCGTTATTTTGAAAATGTTCCTATTAATGATTATAATTATTAATAATAATTGATAGGAGTAACAGTTAATTAATTCTTAATTAATAATTCTTATTATAAAATAACGAACAAAATTACAAAGAATAAGGAAATTTATTTAGATTCTAAGTATCATTTCGGTGGTCATTTTTTATCATTTCGGTAGACACTTTTCATTACAGTGGATTCCCGATAACTTATCCTGAAATATTTTAGTAAGTGGTGATTGTTGAATTTGACCCATAGGAGAGGGTAAAATGGAAAAAAGAAACGATTAACAATATATTTTATTTTTTTATTTTGCACCTTTAATTGCATTTTGTGCAAAAACTATGGGAGATACGTGAAAATATGTTAATATCTTTTTTGTAGGAAATAAAATTTTCTACAACTTTGTACTTGGAACTTTTTCTATTTTCCTAGCCAGTCGCGTGATATTGACGAAAAACTCGTTTTTGCACCATTTCGCATTTTTTTTGCACCCTTTGCCGTCAATGCAGCACCCTGCAATTTTAGTATATTAATCTACAAACCCTTACGGAAATTTTCGCGTAGGTTGCAGGTGATCAACTCAAAATGGCAAAGTTAAGCTTTCATTGACTGGACTATATGGGTTAGGAGGAATGTTATCCCAGGAAATTGATAGAACACTACGTTACACACCCCTAAAATTTTTTTGGATAATTTTTATTTTTTTATAATGTGGTATTAAAAATACATACAACCCTAAATTTTCTCTTCTACCTGCCCCTATTTTTATGGTGATACGAAGTTCGTTGGGTCTAGCTAATTGAACTACTCCGAAACGGCTCGACCGATTTTCGTGAAATTTTGTATCCATATGCAGTAGGTCTGAGAATCGGAAACATCTATTTTTCCACCCCCTTAAATGTTAAGGGTGGTCCACCATAACATATTTTTTTTTAACAAAAATTTTTGTTCTTATTTTTTTATTCATTTTCATTTGGAAAACATACAATTTACACAATTCAATTAAGCAACGCTAATAACTTTTCCATAAACCAGTTAAGTTTCCACAGACTGAAGCATTCATACACTTACATAATTTACTTAAAGTTACGTACAATATTTAGAGTTGTGTGAATAAAATAAAAATGATACTTAATCAAAATTTATGATAAGAAAATAATTACTGAGTGTTAGGGTAAAACGACCTTATAGCATTTTTATGACACATCATACAAAAATACAGACAATCCTTATGTATAGTAGATAGTTTTCATGATCCACACTAAGTAGCTCATATTCTATCGCCATTACATTTCATCTCCTACACCTTTACTGGTTGACTGGTAGAGAATGCCTATGGCATGAAGTCCGCCTTTTACTGTTTTTATGGTAATAAAGAATAAATAAATAAATAAATAAAATCCTTAATTTTTACCCTTCTGCCACCCATATTTTTATGGCGATATGAAGTTTGCTGGCTCAGCTAGTAAGTTTATAGATTTTTAATTAGACTTGCAACGAATATTCGGTTACTATTCGGTATTCGGCCTATTCGGCTGCTTTTATTATATTCGGCCGAATACCGAATATCTACATATTATTCGGCCGAATACCGAATACTTAAATAATATATTTTGTCATAGAGAAATAATTGGTAAAATGAAAAATTAAAATCGATTGATCACGTATTTATTCATATTTTCATTTCTGTTATATAATCATTTAAGTAGTCATTGGTACATAACACAGGTACATAATCATCTTCTGAATTGGAAAAATGGAGGATTCTATGTATTTCAATTATTGTGGTAATCAAAATTTAGAAGGATAAGGTTCTCATTTATTTTATAATAATTTATTAAGTAGTCATTGGTACATAAAACAGGTACATAATTTAATCATTTTCTGTATTAAACAAGTTTACAGCTTTTAATTCATTCAGTCATGTGATGAATGGTTACATAATAGCAATAATTTAAAGTTTACGCGCCGTTTTTGGCCATATCTCAAAAGTTGGTTTTGTCATTTAGCCGCATTTTAGCTTGAGGACGGCAGATTACAACAAAACAAAGGAGCGCGAAACAATCACGTCTGTACAAGTTTTTGGCGCTAAAATCCAGCCGAATACTTTTGCCTAATATTCGGCTATTCGATCAGGGGCCTCGCCGAATATTCGGTATTCGGTATACTGCTGAATATACTATTCGTTGCAAGTCTAATTATCTATATCTATACTTATAATAAATCTGTAGAGAGGTCAATTCTGTACATGAAATATATTTTCAAAATAACTATCAGGGGGTGATAAGTGATCGATACTGATGCCAAAAATGCAATCAGTAAAATTTTTGTCTGTCTGTCTGTCTGTGTGTATGTTCCTTATAGAAACAAAAACTACTCGACGGATTTTAACGAAACTTGGTACAATTATTCTTCATACTCCAGGGCAGGTTATAGTATACTTTTCATCACGCTACAATCAATAGGAGCAGAGTAGTGAAGGGAAATGTTGAGAAAACGGGAGAAGTTACTCCATTTTTTAAGCTTCCGTCGCGTGTGGAGCCTTAATGGTTAAAGTTACATAGAAATCATGTATGACGGAAATATTCTACATAAAATTGTCTAAAAAATATCTCGGAACAGCATATGTCTATCTTTTATGGTTGACTCACAATAACACGTGTAACTCCTGATAGCTTAGCAGTTCGGAGCATTCTGATTATATTTGTTTACTCTTACGTTTATAATACTCTCACTCATCCCTAATTTAAAAAAGTTAACATTATTACCTATTCAATAAAAAAAGAATCATAGAAATCGGTATAGAAACACCAAACTTATACATGAAACTAGCTTTTGCCCGCGACTTCGTCCGCGTTATCGTCGTTTTTCGTAAAAAAGTAGCATATGTCCTTCCTCAGGGTTCCGTGGTTTTGATGTGACAGACAGATTAACTTTCGTATTTTAGTAGGGAAATATAATACTGTTAAAAATATCGCAATAAGGAACCGCAGAATATTATAATCAATAAATCTAATTGTACAGAGTAAATGTATTAGGATAAACAAACATAATTATAAAAAAAGTATACTTCTTTTTTTGTTGTATATACATACATATTATTGATAAATCACACCCAGACACAGAACAAATACACGTGCTCATCACACAAATATTTGTACTAGGTAAAATAATAAATCTAATGAGATTTTGTAATAATTTATTAAACAGCAGTATTTTTGATAACTAAAATAATTTCGATACTTTTAATCGATTAAACAATGTTCTAGCATAAAACCGATTATAGCTTTAAATCGAACGAGCTATGTGATAGGGTGTCACTATTTTTACTTCGAACGATCTGTCAAAAAGATAATAATATAACTGACTAAATTTAAATCTCAGATCAAAAATACTCTTATGAATAAGGGCTATTATAAAGTTGATGATTATCTGAATGATCGTAATGCATGGACATAGTGTTTCTTATAATTTGATATTAAATGGGTATTAGTCATTTTTCATAACAGTAATATTGTACCTATCTGCCACTTCCTATATACTACATATAATGTTAACTATAAAATTAATTGTAACTATATATTTATATTCTAGATGATGTAATGGAAAGTGACTTCAGACGTATTTCTGAAGTAATTTTTCAACTTGACGACACTGTATATAACAATACAGGGAGAAAAAAGCAGCCCTTGCTGAGTTTCTCGCCGGTTCTTCTCAGTACAAGGTCTCCCGCCGTAGTTTTGCGAACCGATGGCGTAGCTTCTTGACCTTCACAAGTGCTTGTAACAGCCTAGACTGAATAAATGACATTTCATTTCATTTCATTGGACAGACTATAGTAAATTTATAGATTCTTAATACCATGTTTTCCTCCCCCAGGGAGTTACTATGCGCCCAGAATCGTATGAAGCTCCGTTGGTTGAGCTCCAGAGCTGATACCGTGTCGTATCTGGCGTCCTCGACCACGGCTCTAACGTACGCACAATCGCGATGTACTGCGCAGGCGTTAGCGCACCATGCGCACGCTAAAAATATGGTGAGAAACAATAATTAGGGCCCGTTCAAGTATTCATCATCATCATCAGCCTATTAATGTCCCCACTGCTGGGGCACAGGCCTTCCCTATGGATGGAATAGGGAGATTGGGCCATGACCCACCACGCGGGCCTAGTGCGGATTGGTGGGTGCTAACGACTGCAGATGCAGCCGGGACCAACGGCTTAACGTGCCTTCCGAAGCACGGAGGAGCTCGAGATAGTAAATTTTTGGTCACCCATCCAATGACCGACCACTGCGAAAGTTGCTTAACTTCAACGATCGCAGCCGAACGCGCTAGCCACCTGCTCCATCGAGCTCCTCTCCCGTTCAAGTATTACGTAAGCAGATTTATTACAATTATTTACCCCCTCCTCCCCCTTGTCAGCAAAAGTAAGCAAAACTCTTACCTCCCCCCCATCCTTACGTATACATTGGTACCTATATGCATTTTTCCTTTAATGTATTCTGTTTTTTTATTGATTCATGAGCTTTCATGAGCTTTCATGAGCTTCATGAGCAGCAGTACTTAAAAAGGCTTAATCGATGATGCTGACGTAATCACCATCTCGACCCCCCCCCCCATGTCATCAAAAAAAAGCAAAGCAAAGACCCCCCTGCCCCCCTATAGTGCTTACGTAATACTTGAACAGCCCCTTACATTAAAGTTTACTAGATACAGCTGAGCTAGAGGAGTTCGATGGCGAAACTAGTTAGCGCGTTCGGCTGCGATCGTTGAAGTTAAGCAACTTTCGCAGTGGTCGGTGATTGGATGGGTGACCGAAAATTTACTATCTCGAGCTTCTCCGTGCTTCGGAAGGCACGTTAAGCCGTTGGTCCCGGTTGCATCTGCAGTCTTTAGCACCCGCCAATCCGCACTGGGCCCGCGTGATGGGTCATGGACCAATATCCCTATTCCATCCATAGGGAAGGCCTGTGCCCCAGCAGTGGGGACATTAATAGGCTGATGATGATGATAATGATTACTAGAAAAAATCCACGCGGACCAGACAGCGGACGGGACTCGAACCCGCACCCTTCGCAATCCGGGCGAATGCACTGACCATTATGCTACCACGGCCCTGATGGCCGCGTCGAAATTTTCCTAGCCTTAAGCTGCAAGGCAGCGCCATCTCTTCGCTATGTAAGTAACCCACAATGTCAAATGAATACTTTTTCAAGTATTAAACATTTGAAAGAAGAAATAGCAATTATAGTTATGTTTTTATTTATTTTTAAGCATTTAACTGCTAGATGTTTAAATGTAAAGCAAAGTTTACTAGGAACTTAACTAACTTAACCTTGCAGCTTAAGGCTAGGAAAATTTCGACGCGGCCAATAGGGCCGTGGTAGCATAATGGTCAGTGCATTCGCCCGGATAGCGAAGGATGCGCGTTCGAGTCCCGTTCGCTGCCTGATGCGCCTGGATTTTTTCTAGTAAACTTTATTTAGATTTAAACATCTAGCAGTTAAATGCTTAAAAATAAATAAAAACAGTAATTACATTATATTGACATTATTTTTGAAGTTATACTTCTTTAGGCGCGTTATGAAAAAATGATGAGAGTGAAATTTTTAGATGCGCGCGCATCACTGTAACCCAAAAGTAACAGCATGAAGTTGGCCGCGGGCGCGTTATGAATGTTAGTGTCTAATAATGGTGGATTATTAACCACCTGTTTCTAGTTTCTATATACACACAACGTGTTTTAGTTACTTACAAGTGCTAATTACATATGAACTAATAACTTAAATTCAGTAGTGATTTTAATTGAATATTTTGAATATTTATTTAATTTTTCAAATTAAAACTGAACTTAATTGACTGTGTTAACTATCCTTTTCCAGTCCTTTTATTATTTTATTGTAATTATTAATTATTTGCATGCAATTAAAAAATATTTTTAATGATGCTAAAGAAGTATAACTTCTCACGCGCGTACATAAGTTACACGCATCCATTTTTTTTATTGTATACTAGTGGCCCGCCTTCGCTTCGCTTCGGTGTAGAGCTGTAGTGTAAACTATAGTTTTTTGTTCTCAAGCTTGTGTTATATATCTATCTATCTATATATATAAAAATGAAACCCGTTTTCCGTTGTCACGACATAACATGAAAACGGCTTGACCGATTTGGCTGATTTTTTTTTAGAATATTCCTTGAAGTACGAGGATGGTTCTTACGAAGAGAAAAATTAAAAAAAATGCCTGAAAATGTCAAAAAACAAAACTTTTCTTTACTCCCATACAAACGATTCGTAATAATACTTAAAAGTCAATTTGAACTTTAATACCATACCATAAATTTCAAATGTTAGTAGAGAGATTCTGGGAAGGCAAAACAATTGAGCGACGTGATGTCAATAGAAGTTTGGAAAAGATAAATATACCATCTTCAGTTTTTTTATAATCTATATATATAAAACTCAAAGGTGACTGACTGACGATGACGTAGTAATCTATCAACGCCCAGCCCAAACCACTGGACGGATCGGGCTGAAATTTGGCATGCAGGTAGATGTTATGACGTAGGCATCCGCTAAGAAAGGATTTTGATCAATTCTACCCCCAAGGGGATAAAATAGGGAATGAAAGTTTGTATGAAATTTTGTCCATTTTAAAACCGAACGGGCTGAGACTTTGCATGCAGGTATAAGAATAATCATAGATGAATGTAACTGTGTATAAAACAAGCCTGAGAACAAATACTGTAGTCTACGCTTCAGCTCTACACCGAAGCGAAGCGAGGGCGGGCCGCTAGTAATAAATAAATATATATTTCCAACACTCACACAAATTAGCCTAGCCCCAAAGTAAGCAGGCTTGTGTTATGGGATACTAGGGTAACGGATAGAATACATATACTGTACATATCATCATCATCATCAGCCTCTTAATGTCCCCACTGCTGGGGCACAGGCCTTCCCTATGGATGGAATAGGGATATTGGGCCATGACCCACCACGCGGGCCCAGTGCGGATTGGCGGGTGCTAACGACTGCAGATGCAACCGGGACCAACGGCTTAACGTGCCTTCCGAAGCACGGAGGAACTCGAGATAGAATTTTTTGGTCACCCATCCAATGACCGACCACTGCGAAAGTTGCTTAACTACAACGATCGCAGCCGAACGCGCTAACAACCTGCGCCATCGAGCTCCTCCACATATATAAGTATATTTATATAGAAAATACATATAAAACATCCATGACTGAAGTACAAATGCTCGTATTTATCACACAAACATCTGCCCCCACCGGGATTTGAACCCGGGACCTCTCGAGTCGGCGACACCATGAAACATGAAAGGGGGGGTAAGCAAGAGAAAGCAAAAAAAAAGGGAAAAAGGTTTCAGGGTCCATAATGCACTTTTTATCTTTTAATATTACCACCTTTGTATCTCCATTATGGTCTGCAATAAATGAATTGAATTGAATTCAATTAATATAATATTATGTATTTATATGTGTCTAGTTGGTGTATTCCATTGGCGATGGTCCTCTACGTAGACTCATATGGCTGGTCCGAAGATATAGACTAGAGACTCATCCCCATAGACTACGCGCCTGGGTTACTGCCTACCGAAGATATGTACGAGGGTGAGTATTGTCTATCCGTCGATATGTCTGTCTGTATAATTGAAGCACGCGTTGGTCAATCGGCTATTTGACAGTTTGAAAAATATTTTTTTTTTTTTATTTTTTTTTTTTTATTTATTTATTTAATCATTGATACATATTTTTTTTCATATTTTAATACCTTGCCAACCTGTAAACATCAGGTTGTTGGCAAGCCAACGCTCGTTTTCCTTACAGTATCATGTTAAACTAATACTACTGTTATAAACTTACAAATAATATGACTATAAGCTACTGTTAACATATTATGTCTAAGCTATTTTAAAGTGACTATCTGTTACAAATACATATTTTACGCATTATTAAAAAGAGTTTTATTATGCTTCCAATTTGAAAAAAGAGATTTTGATTTAAATAATTAGTTACAAAATATCAAGCGGTTCACTGTGAAGATTAACAATGTAATGTGAAAATAATGTTTAAGTACTTATTGATACATAGTTTTTGCTTATACAAAATAATAATAATAATACAAAATAATAATACAAAATAATAATAACAATAATGTGTTCTCATTTCTGTAAAATTTCTTTCAAGGATTTTTTTAATATATGTATGCTAACATTCTTATTTTTTCTTACCCACTCTAATTTGTTTAGAATTTTTGGTATTATATATTTATTTGTTCTCATCCCATAACTATTTTTAACTTTATGTATAATAAACTTCCTTTCCCTAACACTACTTGTATTATACCTATTGACAATGAGGGGTCTATCCCACAAATTGTAATAATTTTCTTTTACTATTAAATAATCCACTTTCTTGTCTACTGGCAATATTCTACATACTTTGTATAATTTACTGTAATCCTGTTTACATTTTTTTCTTGTGTTTTTATCAACTATATACTTCAGTAACCTTATTTGTATATTTTTTATCTCGTTTATATATGTTTTATAAGTACGCCCATATACACTAAGACCATAACTAATTAAAGATTCGACAAGAGCATGATATACCATTAGTAGTGTCCGTCTGTCTAATATTTTCACTAACTGATAAAATTTACAAAAGACATTTCGGAGCTTAGTGCAAACCTGTTCTATATGCATTTTGAAGTTAAAGTTTCGGTCTATGTCTACGCCTAGGTATCTGAAATTTTCTACCATTTCTATTTTTTGACAATTGCATGCACATTTCATATTATGTAGACATTCATAAGAGTGACCTATTATGCTAAATGTGTCCTGATTCATTGTCCTAGCTGCACGGTTATAAGGTGAGTATATATGCATATATTTAGTTTTAGTAATATTAATAATGATTCCATTATCATGTTCTTATTATTGGCATTTCTATTTAATATGAATATTACCAGCGATTTTAGTATTTTGAAAGAGCAAATACTTAATAACTTTTCTATAAAACCCTTAAATAGATTTGATTTTTTCGCTCCATCTGTCACGCGACCTAATGCGCCTGGGATTGGCCAAGACTAAAATGACGTCACACGCTAGTAATCTTCCGGCCAAAGTGACATTACATTGTGTCGTTTGACGTTTTATCTGGCGTCTGGTGTGTCGAGTGACGACACACACTTGTGAGACGCCATGATGCCCAAAGAAACGTTTTGGCGGCAACTTGATAATTGAAATTTTGGTTTCTTTTTTTACTGAATTACACAACAGAATAAAGAATTTCCTAATTTTTATAGACTCCATAAATGTTAATAAATAACGTGCGATCATTTTTTAAAACTTGTCCAATACCCTATTACAACAATTTGTTAAGTCAAATACAACGATTTGGAAATGATATGGAATCCGAACGGCGCCAAAAAATGGTTCCACGCAAACTGCGATCAAGTAGGCGGAGTGAAAAAATGCGATCAACACGTCGAGCAGAGGATTGGTTAGGATTTCCGTTTAATATTATCTTGCCCAATGAATGAATAGCCGAATTTATTTGCAGACATTTGATTTGTCAATGTATTTTGTTTTGTCTGTGTGCGTGTCGCATTGTATGAGTTTGGAGCCGTGTTTTAGCGGTCTTTGTTACAGAGTAATGCTTTCATATCATTTCGTTTCACTAATTCATTTGTCTAATATTATTGGGTAAAAAAAAGAGATCTTGATGGCGCAAGTGGTTAGCGAGTTCGGCTGCGATCGCTGAAGTTAAGCAACTTTCGCAGTGGTCGGTCATTGGATGGGTGACCAAAAATTTACTATCTCGAGCTCCTCCGTGCTTCGGAAGGCACGTTAAGCCGTTGGTCCCGGCTGCATCTGCAGTCGTTAGCACCCACCAATCCGCACTGGGCCCGCGTGGTGGGTCATGACCCAATCTCCCTATACCATCCATAGGGAAGACCTGTGCCCCAGCAGTGGGGACATTAATAGGCTGATGATGATGATGAAAAAAAAATAAGTAAAAATGAATCCCTTCTTTCATCTTTACCGATATTTTTTTACGAACCCTCACCCTTCGCTCGAGTCCCGTTTGCGGCCTTGTCCGCGTGGAACATTTTCTAGCAATTTTCTTTAAGTCATAGTGTTCGATAGCTTGTGATAGTTGTAGTGTCTTATATAGTGGATTTCTCAATAAAAATCGGATATTCAGATTGCACAATATTATTCATAGTAAAATACAGATCTTATTAAAATTGTGTGCGTACGTTGTCTTTTTACAAGCTTTTAATTAACTTGCTATGTATGTTTGTTACGGTCAAATCTTACAACTCAATTTTAAAGCACTTGCTCTCCACCGATTAAGCTGAAATTTGATAGGCCGTTTAGTTCGGATGACAATGCATGATTAACAGTGTGACGTCATTCTAAATCCAATATGTCGGCATACCCAAAATGGCGGATTTTTAATGCATTCCTACAATATGGGTATCAAATTAAAGGGCTTGCTGAGAGTAACTCGAAAAAAATGTGACGTCACTCTCAATCCAATATGGCGGACTTCTAAAATTTGAAAATCTATTTAGAAACAGACATCTTTAACTAATTTAGTTGAAAATTTATTTTATTCTTTTTAGCGCATTTGAATAAAAGCTTGTTTTTAAAAAGGTTTTTTTTTGAATTCGAATTACAAGAGGGAGAGTGAATCTATATAAATCAAAATGAGTGAATGTAGTAACGAACGGGTACGAAATGAATGTATGAACGGACGATGATGATGGACCGATTGCAGCTTCTCTCTTCGATGGATAGATGGCGTTAACACATAGTTTGCAAGATAATAAGTCATAGTATATTTAATTCCTCCCTCATATAGTGGTCGTTGGTGTCCCTTCATTCTATTCCAACGTCGATGGCATCAGTTGAAGGAGGAGACTCGAATCGCATTAACTCCGGGGCTGGGTGTTGATGGACCCGCTGTAACTCCTCACCCGCTGCACTGGATAGTGGCCGTTAGGTGAGTGACACACCTCATTACCGATTAATTAATACTTTGTTAAATTAGTGAATAATAAACTATCAAAAATACGCTTCTAGCCAGTCAAGGTATCTATACATATAAATAAAATTTGATTGTCTGTTTGTAATATTGAAATAACCGCTTTTTACTACATGCATATGAATATATATATGGTACATACACCAAAATTTTTTTTTTACATTTTTTGTCTGTCTCACTGTTTGTTCCGGCTGATCTCTGAAATGGCTGGACCGATTTTGACGGGACTTTAATTGGTAGGTAGCTTATGTAATAAGGAGTAACTGAGGCTGCTTTTATTTCAGAAAAAAATATTTTATTTTAGAAAAAAAAAAAACTAACGCCAATTAGACGATTTTATACTTACGGAAATTCGCACGCAGCTGAAGTGCCTTAGGGGCCGTTCAAGTATTACGTAAGCAGATTTATTACAATTATTTACCCCCTCCACCCCCTCGTCAGCAAAAGTAAGCAAAGCTCTTACCCCTCCCCCCTAGGGGTGTCCACTCTGAAAAAAACATCGATATATTTTTTGATTCGATTCATCGCAACTATACATCGATGCATCGATGTATCGGATGAAAACATCGATGTATTTCAAACATCGAGTACTTTTTCTTAAATTTAAAAAAAAAATGCTGTCTGTCAATAGAATATTAGAAATATATGTACCTTAGTTTGTTTCACAAAACCAAAGGTTATTAAATGTTTATAAACATAGAAACTCGTAGTTATTTTTTATTGTCACTGCACTGACTCTTGCGCAGTGCTGCCAACATCGGAGCCATATCAGAGAATTCGGAATGCTTTCATAACAGTAAGTAAAATTTTAGTGGTCAAACTGAAGTTTTTTTTTACTGAGGTTAAACCAAAAAGAGGATATTATCACTACGTGGTCAAACTGTATTACCAATTCGATGTTTGTTTAAACATCGATGCATCGAGTATATTGAAAGCTTTTCAAAACATCGGATCGATTCGATGTTTTTCATTGTAAACATCGATGTTTTCGATGCATCGATGTATATCGAATATCCCTACTCCCCCCCCATGCTTATGTAAACATTGGTACCTATATGCATTTTTCCTTTAATGTACTTTGTTTTTTTTATTGATTCATGAGCTTTCATGAGCTTCATGAGCAGCAGTACTTAAAAAGGCTTAATCGATGATGCTGACGTAATCACCATCTCCCCCCCCCCCACCCCCCCACCCCATGTCATCAAAAATAAGCAAAGCAAAGACCCCCCAGAGAATCACGCCAGAATCGACACCATTATATTGTTGTACAGATGGCCGCATGTTCTGACTGACCCGTTGCCCTCGTGGACTCAGTTAATGCAGTTGGGGCTAGTTTACGATTTAGAGGTGAGTTATTAACGCAATATATATCAATTTCAACGTATTTGCTCAAAAAATGCATTTACAGAAGTTATATACATTGTTTTGAAGATCTAAATTACGAACTATACAACACGTAGCGTGCGGTAAAACGTTTTACCGCTACTATACATGGCGCCGTGCGTATCCTTAACGGTTTTTTTTTTAATTTAGATCGAAATTCCTTGCGAGCGCGTTTTAAAACTAAAAAGAAAAAAGACGAGAGATGTAGTTCTAATTTTCACCACCCGCACGTGGCGCCATTTGGAAATGCGCGCCGTTTTCTTCATCATCATCATCAGCCTATTAATGTCCCCACTGCTGGGGCACAGGCCTTTCCTATGGATGGAATAGGGAGATTGGGCCATGACCCACCACGCGGGCCCACTGCGAATTGGTAGGTGCTAACGACTGCAGATGCAGCCGGGACCAAACGGCTTAACGTGCCTTCCGAAGCACGGAGGAGCTCGAGATAGTAAATTTTTGGTCACCCATCCAATGACCGACCACTGCGAAAGTTGCTTCACTTCAACGATCGCAGCCGAACGCGCTAACCACTTGCGCCAACGAGCTACTCGACATGATGCTTCAACAATAATATTTTATATGTGTTTTTATGTAGTAAGTTATTTTTATTTATTTAATCTTTATTGCCTTATATGCAAATGGCGGACTTAATGCCAATATGACATTCTCTACCAGTCAACCGGAAAGAAAGTGCAGAGCGAATATAACGGCAAAGAATAAAAAAAAAAAGAAAGTTAACATCAAACAATGCGAAAAACTAAATTAAAACATAAACGTAATTATATATACACATACTTAAATACATATCCTATATATCTAATAATATATTACACATAAACAAAAATTCATACATAAAACATATACATATTTAAACAGTGTCCGATTATAGTAATCTGATTGAACTTAAACGCTTTCCAAGAGATTAAAGAAATGTTCCCGCGCCAAAGTCTTAAACGCAGTCTTGTTTGGAGCGTTTCGCACATGTAAAGGAAGTCCATTCCAGAGCCGAATGGCAGTAAGAGTAAATGAACTGGAGACAAAGCCGGTATGGTGAATAGGTACACTAAGAATCACATTATTATTAGAACGAAGATTTAATTGATGAGAAGACCCAAGGAACTGAAAACGAGATTTTAGATATCCAGGAGTAAGTGGATCATAAAGTATGTTGTAAAGAGTGCAAACTATCCTTAAGTGTCTACGCTCCCGAATAGGCATCCACTTAAGTTTACTGCGGAATTCAGAAATGTGGATTTCTGAATTTCGCAGTAAACTTAAGTGGTGGTGAGAGTTATCGTATCTTTTTCGCTAAGGAAGACAGAAAAGGCTTTGAAACTTCAAGTCATAGTATAAAATTGTTACATATGTGTTATATATATTTATTTATATTTGTAGGACAGCAATCTGGATCAAGTTGAATCGATTGAACCAGTGGACGAACAGGGTAAGAATTTTTCAATATGTTTCATCCTAATAAATAAATAAATATCGCTTAAACCGCTTAACCGATTTATATGAAGTTCAGTATTAATATAACTTGTATCCCATTCATGCTACCGCGGCCCTAATGGCCGTTTCAAATTTTCTCTAGTATATTTCTTAGACTGCAAGGCAGCTCCATCTCTTCGCAGTGTAGGTAACCTACAATGTAAAATGAATACCTTTACAAGTATTAAACATTTGAAAGGACTTTTTGGCGGGATCGCTTTAGCAGTTTTGTTTTTCTTGTTAAAAATTGTGTTGTGGCGGATGTTAGTGTCTAATAATGGTGGATTATTAACCGCTAAGTGTACGGGAACATGCACAAGTGTTGGCAAGTGAAACAAAATAGCGGAAAGTGTCTTTCGACGTTCCCTCAAGAAGTCCACGGGGAGGTTCCAGTAAATCCCCACACATTTACTGAAACATAGGGAAAGGGGGATTGACTTGACTGCCACTAACTTTGACTTGATTAATATTTTGGCCACGAGTGCTTTAGAATATGTAAATATTTTACACTTGACATTGGCTAAATGCACAAACCGTGCGAAGCTATATAGAAAAAGATATAGCAATCTTAGTTATATTTTTATTTTTTAAGCATTTAACTGCTAGATGTTTAAATCTAAGGGTAATTTTTAAATTACCTTTATGATGAAAAAAGGGATAGAAAATCGTAATGGAAATAAATTAAAGCACACAGACGAAGTCGCGGGCCACAGCTAGTATATGCATAAAGATAATTGGTTTTCTAGTAAAATCAAGTTCCACAAACTATCACATCAAGTTTCCACAAACTATCAAATTTCCTCAACAGATGTTTGGAAGAAATTTTTTTCCTTTGGATAACCTGACCTGTGGCTGTCTGTATAAATCCAAGAAATCAATTAATTTATATATCTATCAGTTAAATGATTAAAAATAACAAAATAAACTACAAAAATATTATTAAAACTTTCATTATTATTTGTCAACAGACGACAGAGACGATTTCCTCAAATTGGCCACAAGAGAGAGACTCGATGAGATTCGTAAAAGGCCCAGAGTTCAGAAGGGAACTAGCTTATTCCTGGATTCCTTGCGTACGATGTACTTTTCCAATACACAACCAACTCAACCCAATACAAACCTTACACCACCCACACAAGGACTGAAATCGCGCAACCAGAGTGAAAACTTAATAATATCAAACACGGATGAAAGCGAAAATGTCTTAAATCATTTGGAAAGTATAAACCCTGATAGAGCTGAAGCTACCATAATTTTCGAGAGTGACGATGAAAATCTACCTTCTGAGTATGAGAATAAAGGTCATGATCGAATAAAAGTCGAAAGGCATAGCGACGATGAAATGGAAATTGAAGTCAGATATCCTGTGGGTGCTTCTGGATTGAACAAAAGCCGATTGAAATTTGAAGACGATGATTTTGATGAAGAAAGATTGCCCCTTAGTCTAACAGCTAGCACTAAAGGAAAACGACCTTGTGCCGTTGGGAACAGGGACGATTATCACTTGAAGAAAATTGCCGATTTGAAAACTGGTTTGTTTGACGACCTCAGTATTGTTAAGAAGGAAAAGGATGGCGATAATCCAGTTGAAGGAAGCAGAACTTCGGTAAGGATAAAGTTCGAAGAAGATTCGGACGTTCCGGACGCGTTCGATAGTACGGACGGATGTACAGGTGAGTTTGAATGGCTTTATTTTATGTTTTTATTGGGACGAAGTTCCTTACGGCAGGTTTGGAGGGGATAGGGATTTTGCTGCGCGACCGAACTGAAAAAAATGTGATAGTGAAACCGTAAGAAAAAATGCGTGGAAAAAAGTGCGTGGAATAAAACCGTTAAATGAGACGTGCGCAGGCGCGAAGTTCCTTACGGCAGGCTTGGAGGGGATAGGGATTTTGCTGCGCGACCGAACTGAAAAAAATGTGATAGTAAAACCGTAAGAAAAAATCCGTGGAAAAAAGTGCGTGGAATAAAACCGTTAAATGAGACGTGCGCAGGCGCGACAGTCGCATACACAAGCGAGTTTGCAATTTGTGTCGATTCTACATTAGCCGAAGTAACTTCGTTCCTACCTGGTGTTCCACGACACCACATCATTTTTTTTATTTTTAAGCATTTGACTGCTAGATGTTTAAATCTAAACAAAAGTTTTCCTAGAAAAAAATCCAGGCGCATCAGGCAGCGAACGGGACTCGAACCCGCATCCTTCGCAATCCGGGCGAATGCACTGACCATTATAATACCGAGGCTCTAATGGCCGTGCCGTGGTATTTAGTTATAAAATAACCAATATTTTAATATTATTTGGTTATTCAAATTATTTTTTATCGATAAATGATAAATGATGTTTAAAATTTCAAAATTTAACCCATGGCAAGTTATTTTATTAGACATTACACATTATTTTTGATAAATACTAATGACTGATTTTAGAAAGACTATGAAAAGAGTTGTAATTAAAACATTATAATGTTTTAAAATAAAAAAAATCAAAAATGGGACACTACTACTTGCAAATTTGAGAACAGTCTCTCCTTTTCACTCCCTATAGATTATGATAAGGACAACCTTATAGTAATTTATGTTATTTACGGAATTGTTATCATCTACCTTGTTATTAGCGAGCGAGAGCGCCATGATCACGGAGCGACTGAAGTAATAGGGATGATGACGGGGTACAGTAAACGAAATTCTATTTAGTCCGTCAGTTAGATGATCAAAAAATAATGGACACGTATTTTTTCTTTGGGCAATCAACCAAAAAATGACAAAGTTATAGCGCGTCAAAGTTTGTGAGTAGGGGCTCGTGACGTCACTTTTGAGTGAATTTTCACTTATAAGTGTACTCAAACGTGACGTCATGCGACTTTTCAAATCAATATATCTCTGCAATGTTTATATTATGTGAAAAAAGAAAAAATACGTGTCCAATACTTTTTGATAATCTACCTGATAAACGAAGAAAAAAAAAATAGTCATCATCCCTATTGCGGGTAGGCTGTTATTGGCAGACATATCGATCTACCCTCCGACGAAGTCTTTTATTGCATTCGATACCCGTAACCAGACCCGTCTTTCCCAATGGGCACTTTGGGCAAGTGTCCAGGGCCCCGCGATCGATAGGGGCCCCCCTCAGATCAAATACAGAGTCCCTAGTTCCTGTTAAATCACCAAACGGAAGTCATAGGGGCCCCATTATCCTAATATGCCCAGGGCCTCTAAAAGGTCAAAGACGGCACTGCCAGTACTGTACTGTACCCCTAGCACGAACCAATATCGAATTCGTAACGTTTGCGAGTCCGAAATGTCATTGTCAAATTTTGTATGGAAACTTGAACAGCAGCGGCACAAAGTACGTAACGAGAACTATCAATAATCAATAATCAAAATCATTTATTCAGTTTAGGCTGTTACAAGCACATATGAATGTCTAGAAGCTACGCCATCGGTTCGTAAATCTAGGGCGGGAGACCTTGTACTGAGAAGAACCGGCAAGAAACTCAGCAAGGGCTGTTTTTTTCTCCCTGTTTTATCATTTACAGTGTCGTCAAGTTGAAAAATGACTTCAGAGATGATTCATGAATTCACCTTTCATTACCTAATGTGAAATTATACATTATTTTTTTATTACACACAGTATAAATACAAACAGAGTTATTTATAACTAGTGGCCCGCCCTCGCTTCGCTTCGGTGTAGAGCTGTAGTGTAAATTATAGTTTTTGTTCTCAGGCTTGTGCTATAAACAATGACTTTATTTATATAATTACACGTGTTATTGTGAGTCAACCATAAAAGATAGACATATGCTGTTGCGGGATATTTTTTAGACAATTTTATGTAGAATATTTCCGTCATACATGATTTATATGTAACTTTAACCATTAAGGCTGCACCCGCGACGGAAGCTTAAAAAATGGAGTAACTTCTCCCGTTTTCCCAACATTTCCCTTCTCTACTCTGCTGCTATTGATTGTAGCGTGATGAAAAGTATACTATAACCTGCCCAGGAGTATGAAGAATAATTGTACCAAGTTTCGTTAAAATCTGTCGAGTAGTTTTTGTTTCTATAAGGAACATACACGCAGACAGACAGACAGACAGACAAAAATTTTACTGATTGCATTTTTGGCATCAGTATCGATCACTAATCACCCCCTGATAGTTATTTTGAAAATATATTTCATGTACAGAATTGACCCCTCTACAGATTTATTATAAGTATAGATAGGTGTAATTAAACATTTACATCTTAAATATCAAAGTAGTTAGGGCAGACTCATCTCCGCTGGCAGCACCCGTTCACGAGCATGACGCATGAACCAGCCATCGCGTCGCTCAACCATATTTTAGGGAACGTAACGACCCGCCTCACTCGACACCACCGAAGAGACTTAAGAGAGCATGACTACCTATAACCACCTATATCAACCACAACATATTTACTTAAACTTAAAGTCATTTATCTGTAGGACACTGCAAACAATTGCAAAGCAAAAACAATGGAGAAATCATGACCACGCCGTTTTGTCATTCAAATCTTCTTAAAAAGTCTGATATTCTTCCTTACGTAATCAACTTTAAATACAGCTTTTCAATAGAAGTATCATCAACACATGATTCATAATAAGTGTATATCATATAGAAATACCCGTTGGAATGGTTGGAACAGTACAAACCCAAGCATTTTTGTTTGAAATATAATCAGACACTTTATAATAAGCATTCTTAACAAGAGATTTTTTAATGGTCGATTTAAATTTAGTCATGCTTAACTCTTGAATTTTGCTTGGGACTTTATTGTAAAAGCGAACACAGAGGCCTCTAAACGAATTATTAATTTTGTGGAGCCTAGTAGCAGGTAAAGTTAACTTATTTTTACTTCTAGTATTAAGTGTATGTATTTCACTATTTTTAGTAAATAAACTATTTTTTTTTGACATATACGAAGTTTTCATATTTGATATATTTTATTTACATATTGTGATGCAACCGTCATTATGCCTATTTCTTTAAACTTATCTCTTAAGGAGTCCGTAACTTTAAGATTATAAATTGATCGAATAGCCCGCTTCTGCAACACAAATATTGTTTGAATGTCGGCGGCATTTCCCCACAGTAAAATACCGTAAGACATTACACTATGAAAATAACTAAAGTAGACTAATCTGGCAGTTTCTATATCCGTTAACTGACGTATTTTCATTACAGCATGTGCTGCAGAACTAAATCTCTTCGACAATTTATCAATATGTAACTAAAAATAAGTACACATTCGACAATGACATTTCGGACTCGCAAACGTTACGAATTCGATTTTGGTTCGTGCTAAGGGTACTGTTCACATTCTCACTATTCGCTCGAAACTGTTCTCGACACACAACACTTACAGTGGCGGATCGCGACACGACACTTTTTTGATTATTCCGGTTTTCACACATACGAACCACAGGATTCTAGAAGGGACAAGCTGCTGTCAAAATTACAAATAGCAAACATTAATAGAGCTCGATGGCGCAAGTGGTTAGCGCGTTCGGCTGCGATCGTTGAAGCTAAGCAACTTTCGCAGTGGTCGGTCATTGGATGGGTGACCAAAAATTTACTATCTCGAGCTCCTCCGTGCTTCGGAAGGCACGTTAAGCCGTTGGTCCCGGCTGCATCTGTAGTCGTTAGCACCCACCAATCCACACTGGGCTCGCGTGGTGGGTCATGGCCCAATCTCCCTATTCCATCCATAGGGAAGGCCTGTGCCCCAGCAGTGGGGACATTAATAGGCTGATGATGATGATGATGAAACATGAATAGGCATTTATTCTGTTGGCATAATATAAATATGGTCGTGTTGTTTGTTTAGTTGACGAGAAACTCCTCATGGAAACGAGAGTAGTACTGGAAAGATTGAATCCACAAAGGCTCCAAGAATTAGAGGCGGCCAAGTGAGTACAGTTATTTATCATGCTAATAAATATAAATGAAAATGTATGTCTGACTGTCTGTTACTTTTTTACCAACGATATTAAATACCCTAGATACACCACGAGCGCTCAAAATGTGTCCCAATCGAGAAGTGCTTAAACACCACTCAAGCACTTCTTGGTTCACAGTCACGCGCGTACCATTATAAAGTCAAGATGCCACAGAGCTCCGCGAAAAATGCGAAAATAATACTAAGAGTATGAAAAGTGTCGCTTTTTCGACAGGTATAGTCAATGTTTGTTAATTTAACGCATTTGAAGCAAATTTTGATCTAATACTTACTATAAACTGACTTAATATAAAATATTTGTGATATTCAAATGCATGTCGGTTATACGTCGCCATATAGCCGTCTCTTTTCCTCGCGGTCCGTGCCTGCTGTATTTCTAACAGCGCGTTCAGAATTGCCCGTAGAGTCAAAGAACTAAGGTCTAAATTCTTCCGCATATAGGAATAAGTCATTAAATTTTACGAGCTTGCATTTCGAACTGTCAGAAGTATTTGACGCATGCGTTTTATTTAAGACCTTATACAGTATGTATAAAAGGTTAATTTCAATATTTAAATAATGCCTTATATTGATTTTGACTACGCGTTCGTCATACGGAGCTCCGTGGATCGTTCAATGTACCTTTTGGACAGGTTTCGGGCACGATTTTGTTCGTGTTATTGTATCTAGGGTATCTAATATCGTTGTTTTTTACACTTAAACCAGCTGAACCGATTAAAATACAATTTGGTATAAAGGCTGAGCATAATGTACCAATTATTGGCAAATGTGTTTGATATTCATTATTCATCAACAGATCATTTAATAAATAACTATTCTATAAAATCATTGGAGAGATTTTTATTTGTTACTTAGGTTTTCACGCACATCACTCATTAAATAAAACTAGTTTTAACGGGTTAATGCACGAAACTTTATTTATTTATTGACGTTTCGCAGCCTTTTCATGTCTGCATCGTCATAATAATGATTTTTTATTTAATTTTGTTATTGAGCGTTCGTTTATTTCATTGTTAGATTTTTAAAATTGTATTGTCTATATATGAATTTATTAGTTAATTTAGTTAATGAAGTACTTTATTTAAAATTCTTTTTTGTAATTTTGAGTTTATTTATTTGACCCTAACTACCGTAAACTACCTAATTCTAATTCTGACGAAGCAGATCTGAAAAGGCTGCGAAACGTCAATAAATAGAGAAATTTTTTTTTGCTCCATGACCTACGTGCTTATGACCTTTGCTACATTACGTGACCGAAAACACATGGGATTGGCCAAGACTTAAATACATCACGCGCTAGTAAGCTTCCGGTCAAAGTGACATACGTAACACTGTATCGTTTGTCGTTTTAATGACAGCCGTGTGACGTCACACACCAGTGAGCCGCCATAATGTCCAGGGAAACGTTTTCGCGGAAAATTGAAATTGAAATTTTAATTTCGTTTTTTTGCGTTTTACTGAATTACCCAACAGACTTAGAAATATCCAATATACCATTTTTATGGACTCCATAATAGACTTGCAACGAATAGTATATTCGGCAGTATACCGAATACCGAATATTCGGCGAGGCCCCTGACCGAATAGCCGAATATTAGGCAAAATTATTCGGCTGAATTTTAGCGCCAAAAACTTGTACAGACGTGTTCTAATCTGCGTCCTCAAGCTAAAATGCTGCTAAATGACAAAACCGACTTTTGAGATATGGCCGAAAACGGCGCGTAAACTTTAAATTATTGCTATTATGTAACCATTCATCACATGACTGAATGAATTAAAAACTGTAAACTTGTTGAATACAGAAAATGATTAAATTATGTACCTGTTTTATGTACCAATGACTACTTAATAAATGATTATAAAAGAAATGAGAACCTTACCCTTCTAAATTTTGATTACCACAATAATTCAAATACATATAGAATCCTCCATTTTTCCAATTCAGAAGATGATAATGTACCTGTGTTATGTACCAATGACTACTTAAATGATAATATAACAGAAATGAAAATATATACGTAATCAATCGATTTTCATTTTTAATTTTACCAATTATTTCTCTATGACAAAATATATTATTTAAGTATTCGGTATTCGGTCGAATAATATGTAGATATTCGGTATTCGGCCGAATATAATAAAAGCAGCCGAATATCGAATAGTAACCGAATATTCGTTGTAAGTCTACTCCATAAACATTAGTAAATAACTTGAAATTGTTTTCTAAAATGATCGACTGTGTCGAGTTATTTATAGTAAAAAATAAATACTGAGACAGTGTAAGAGATGAACTTTGAATGAGCTGTCGCTGTTTAGACGCTTCACTTGTCGTTCATTAAATAAATAAATATTTCCAACACACACCAATTAGCCTAGCCCCAAAGTAAGCACTATAAGGCTTGTGTTATGGTATACTAGGGTAACGGATAGAATACATATACTGTACATATATGAGTATATTTATATAGAAAATAGGTATTAAATATCCATGACTGGAGTACAAATGCTCGTATTCATCACACAAACATCTGCCCACACCGGGATTCGAACCCAGGACCTATCGAGTCGGCGACACCATGAAACCCGGCGTACAAAACACTCGGCCACGGAGGTCGTCGAATCATTGCCTATGAATGATCACAGATCCATGATCGATGCTAGTGAAAACAATCGGAAGCCGACAGCTTTCATCGCGAAGATACATTCCGATGGACGTCAAATTAGACATTTCATTTATGGTGTTACATCGATGAAGCATCGAAAATTAAAGCAAAAATCAACCGTCTTATTGCATCTATATATATAAAACTCAAAGGTGACTGACTGACATAGTGATCTATCAACGCACAGCCCAAACCACTGGACGGATCGGGCTGAAATTTGGCATGAAGGTAGATGTTAGGACTTAGGCATCCACTAAGAAAGGATTTTGATCAATTCTACCCCAAAGCTTAGATTAAAACAAAAAGGGTAGATACGGTACGCTCATACTTGCATCAAACAAAAACTGATCCCACGGCAGCGCGAACGGGACGGCGAGATCCGCGTCACTGCATTACCGACTAATCACGCGACCAGTACTCGACGTTACTACCGAATAAGATTCAAAACAAACAGCATTTTTTATGAAAAAATATATTTTATAGTACTTACGAGTGAGAAGTGATGCCGTGGGTTTTATTTTTAGTTCTTGAGCAATTTGAGCACTTTTTAAAAAAACACTTAGGCATTGTTTTATCATATAAACACAATATATTAGCAATATTTCTTTTTAACGTTCACATGTACGTCGTTTGTATGTCAAGTTGTGACTAAAGCGATTAGGGTCGTGGACCACAATTCACGTGGATCACTTTTGTGAGGTTAGTGCCGTATCTACCCTTTTTGTTTTAATCTAAGCCCCAAAGGGGATAAAATACCGAAGCGAAGCGAGGGCGGGCCACTAGTTTATAATAAAACTCGGTCACAATGTAACTTACTGTTTAATTTGATTTATTAATATATTAAGTTTTGTCCTTTAATCATCACCCAGGAATCAGTGCGAGAGTGAGACACCTAGTCGTCCCGTCTCGCTCCCACAGGGCAGCTTCACTCGCTCGGTTCCAGTTGCGGAAGTGAAACCACTCCTCTCTGTAAATCCTTTGATAGTTCCCAATAATACCCCCACTCCTATGCCTAAACCAATAACACCGCAAGCAGTCGATAGGTTAAACCCAATACCCTCGCAATATCCCCTGTTAGTTCCGCGTAACTTCACCTATCACAATTTAGTTGCGGATTCGATGCCTATGAATGACAACACCGCAGCGCCATCTGAAAGTAAGTTTTTAAATTATATTTTTATTTTTTATTTACTGTCAAAAATGTAAGTGTTTCTAATAGATTAATATTTTTTATGCGGCTCAGAGGAGGCTAGCTGTTTAATGGGTTAGTAAATTTTCTGTCCCTGTTTAATTTATTTATACTTATAATAAATCTGTAGAGAGGTCAATTCTGTACATGAAATATATTTTCAAAATAACTACCAGGGGATGATTAGTGATCGATACTGATTCCAAAAATGCAATCAGTAAAATTTTTGTCTGTCTATGTGTATGTTCCTTATAGAAACAAAATCTACTCGACTGATTTTAACGAAACTTGGTACAATTATTCTTCATACTCCTGGGCAGGTTATAGTATACTTTTCATCACGCTACAATCAATAGGAGCAGAGTAGTGAAGGGAAATATTGGAAAAACGGGAGAAGTTACTCCATTTTTTAAGCTTCCGTCGCGTGTGCAGCTTTAATGGTTAAAGTTACATAGAAATCATGTATGACGGAAATATTCTACATAAAATTGTCTAAAAAATATCCCGCAACCGCATATGTCTATCTTTTATGGTTGACTCACAATAACATGTGTAATTATATAAATAAAGTTATTGTTTATAGCACAAGCCTGTGAACAAAAACTATAGTTTACACTACAGCTCTACACCGAAGGGAAGCGAGGGCGGGCCACTAGTCTATACTAATATTATAAAGAGGAAAGATTTGATTGTTTGTTTGTGTTGAATAGGCTCCGAAACTACTGGACCGGATCCTACATTATCCCCGATGAACATAGGCTAAAGAGTATTTTAAAAAAAGTAAGGGCTCCGTATGAAAACTTCGATAACGTAACCCAAGGTGTGAAAAATAAATACCAAAAAATAACCTTATAACGCTTATGCTGCGGCAGTCATTGACAGTAGACCAAAGTGATGTACTAAAGTTTAATAAATAATAAATAAATAAATATTTCCAACACACACCAATTAGCCTAGCCCCAAAGTAAGCACTGTAAGGCTTGTGTTATGGGATGCTAGGGTAACGGATAGAATACATATACTGTACATTTATAAGTATTTATATAGAAATACATATTGAACATCCATGACTGAAGTACAAATGCTCGTGTTCATCACACAAACATCAGCCCCCACCGGGATTCGAACCCGGGACCTCTCGAGTCGGCGACACCATGAAACCCGGCGTACAAACCACTCGGCCACGGAGGTCGTCAATATTCGTCGTCGTATAAAGTCACTAGTGGTCCGCCCTCGCTTCGCTTCGGTGTAGAGCTATAGTGTAGGTAGACTATAGGTTTTGTTCTCGGGCTTGTATTATACACAATCAATCTTATATATAAAATTCTCGTGTCACAATGTTAGTTAACAATATCTACAAAAATGTCCGCGATAGCATATGTCTAATTATTACACTTATGCTACAACTAGAGATCCCCAGCGGTTTCACCCGCCTTCATTTCCAAAAAAAAAAAGGTTATACTGAGCATAACTTTTTTTTTCCCCTCAATGGCTTCGCACGGCTTTTGCATTTAGCCATGCCAGCCATTTTATATTTATCCCGCATGAAACAAAATTTTGCGATCTTTTTAAAGTTGTTGCGTGCATAGATAGATAGATAGATAAACATTTTATTACTCACACATACACAATTAAAGGGTTTACAAAACAGATATTCAACTATGGTGGGTAAAGGCGGTCTTATCGCTGAAAGCGATCTCTTCCAGACAACCTTTAAATCGAAGGATAGTTTAACAGAGATAGAAGAGTAATGTGCCAGCAAAATATAAAACAAAATAAAATAGAAATAACATTATATATCTTTATATATATAATTCTTCTGTGAGTGTGTATGTCACTGAACTTCTCTTAAACGACTGGACCGATTTTGATGAAATTTTTTGTGTGTGTTCAAGGGGATCTGAGAATGGTTTAGATTCACAATTTTGTCCGCTGGACAACCCCTATTTTTTTTAGGGCGGTACGAAGTTCGCTGGGTCAGCTAGTATTATATAAAATACATACAAAACATAACACCTTCACATATATATATCTTTATATATATAATTATTCTGTGAGTGTGTATGTCACTGAACTTCACTTAAACGACTGGACAGATTTTGATGAAATTTTTTGTGTGTGTTCAAGGGGATCTGAGAATGGTTTAGATTCACAATTTTGTCCGCTGGACAACCCCTATTTTTTTATGGCGGTACGAAGTTCGCTGGGTCAGCTAGTATATATATATATACATAAACAATAATATGCTATGCTTATAGGTACTGATACAAACATAACATAATATTAATAGAACAATATATACACATACACTACACATATAATTATTATTATACTATCTAAAATTTTCTTATTAATCCCTAATATCTATTTATTATTATCTTAGTAATTATTATCTCCTAGTCCATCAGAAGTTAACTATGAAAAACTAGCTAACAAATTAAAAGAAACAAAGCTTCATTATGTAAGTATAATAAAGCATGAATATGTAAAAGCCCTTTCTCTCAGAACACAGTATATTAAATGATTGAATAAATGTGTATCCTACTTATTCACTACATAAATACGATCACAATCCACCGAGTACATGAGCTAAGAAACGATACAGGTAGCGCCATCTATTAGAAAGCTTATGAAACTCAAGTATGAACGTAACGCTTCTATACAGTTTTCCCTGTATTATGTATTACTCGTAAGAGGTCGCTACGTTAAATTATGAGGCACATATTATTTAATGTTATGTTGTGTTTGGTTTTTCTACATATTCCAACCTAGATTTAGAAATATAGAAATACGTCAAGTGTTAAAAATGTTTACAAATTCTATAGCACTCGTGGTCAAAGTATTATATCAAGTCAAAGGGATTTACTGGAACCTCCCCGTGGACTTCTTGAGGGAACGTACGAACATACAGGTCTTTACTCTTTATTATATTGGTATAGAAATAATGATATATTATTATCCTTCCCAGGAGAAGAGGGCGGGGTGTGTTCGGGCCAACAGCTTGCCGACATGATTCAAGAGGAAGTGGTGAGTTTGAACAATGTTTTGTCTCACAAAGGACATTGCTCGTTCCCCATACATTGAATGCCCTAGAACGCCCAGCAATGAGAAAATGCTAGTTGTGTTCGGAATCATTCATAAACTCTAATTAGCCATTTGTTGAGATACGGACAACTTGAGGAACCGTGGTCTACTACAGAATATATTAGATTTTGAGGTTATAATTATTATACTTAATCGTAAAAGATGCACACTTTATATATTCCGAATAGTGTTCAGCTCTATGTAAGCACTTAAATAATATGCATTAAATGAACATAAAATGCAATTAATAATAAAAATAATAAATGCTTATATTCATATTGATTTATAATAGATTTCTTTTTAAATGAAATGTTCAAAGTCCATTTACCTTTTTCTATATTTCACTATCGGTAATAGGGAAGATGCAATATTTTTATTTTTGTTTTCATTTTAAAGAATTCCATGTAGAATAAACCACAGATATATTAAAAAATTAAAACATTGTGATTTATCGGAAAAAATGCGGTTTTAAATTGACAATTTAAATTTTCGCGCGAAAACGAACCTATGGATGCGATGACGTCACTCCTGTCTGTCACTGGTCGTAATTGTTCGTTGCTGGCTTTAAATTTTCATACTTTTGCATATTTTTTCGAATTTTTAAATATTTTTTTGAAAAATTTAAAATGGACTACCATCAACATCATGTGATCATAACAATACCACTAATATTCCGAAAAAAAGCCGTGTTGACTCATGTTTTGTGCCAATCTACTTCAACAAACTTCCCAAATAAATTGTTTTTGACTGAAACTTCTGACCCAAAACTGAAAAAAAGTGGTTTCAAGCTGCGAAGAGAAATGACAATTATTCTCCAAAGACCATTATTCGATGCTGAGAAGATCACTTTGACGTAAGTCGGCGAATATACTTGTTATATGCTTAATTAATCTGCTTGTACGTAAAAACGCATTAGTAACCTACCTAATACTTACAAAACCTGTCTATAACATATTTTTTATTTTACAGTTGGAGAATGACGTCGAAAATTAGATAAAGTGTGGCACAATCTTCACATTGGCAGGACTGAACCAAGCTTTGCGTTTCATTTAAAATAACTGTAACACGACAACCTTCTTTATGTACTTTATGCTCCGGAGAACTCGACCTTTTACTGTACATCATTTTCCATCTCTTTTAATTTGGACATAGCCGATTGCATTTGTCATATTAACAACTACGATTTTTACATACCGTAGTAATTTAGTCCCTTTCATTTCTAAACTTAAAAACTCTGCACTTTGGACAAAAAAAGTTATAACCATGTCAACGCTAACTCTTGGTGAATTCCTGGAGTCTGCTTTGATAAACGCAACTTTCATTTTTATTAAATTTAAAAAAACTCAATAAATATTCCCATAAAATAATATTTACTTTGACAACCATAACCTCAAAGAAGTTGTCATAACAGGAGTGACGTCACTAAACGCTGATTGGTGTTTTAAAATACGTTCCGTTTCAAGTATTTTTAATTCGTAATAATTGTTAAAAAACAACATTATGTAAAATAAAAACGTTGCAGTGGCATTTCTTTTATATTTTTTTAACATTTTAATCATAAAATTTTCATAAATATTATGTATGCATCTTCCCTATTAGGTATGTACCTGGTTATCATTATATTTTTCATAAAAATAAACAGATATTATATAGGATGGGAGTATAAACTATCTTTACATAATTCCAAAAATAATCTTTATAAATATAATATAAATACTAGTAACAAGTATTATTAACTAAGGTACTGTAACGTCCGTTACGTTACAGCCTCCTTGTTTGGGTGAACTCTTTGTTCATGCAATGCCTACGGCAGGCAGTTATATTAAAAAGTTAATGTCATGATTTTAATATTTGAAATAAGGAATCGTCTGTCTTTTGATAGAAGGTTCCACATCAGATGGACTTAGGGCACTAAACCTCTCGAAGATAGATAAAATTCATATATTATATTCGCCCGATAAATGAAAGAGTTAAATATCTAATTAGTTTTCATTTATAACGTTACGCCCCCAGGTTCTATCCCTTCAGGGTAGAACTCCGCAGTACCTAGTTCTATTCTTATGTTGATAAATACTTATGGTCGCCTATATTGCATTTATTAAGGTAAACAATCTTGGCACAACTTTTTAACAAAATCACCCATTTAAAAATAAAATAATAACGAAGCCAATAAACTATTAAAATAAATCGTTACTATAGACTGAAACCTATTGAATCCAGTTATCAGTTGATTTTTAATGCTGTATTTTCAATAAAAAGGAGTGTCAAGATTGTTTACCAATTAGGACAAGTTGGGTGAACAGACTGTAGTGTATAGTAACAGAACTTTTATTTTTTTAAACAGATTGTCCGTTTACTATGATTAATTGCTAATTAGTTAAAAAAATAATAGAAAAATAATAGTAAAGGCCATTCTTTTGGGCATGCTAGGGCCGATTTCGTCGATGTCCTTTACCTCCCAATTAATAAAATAAAAATAAGAATGACATATAAAGCACTAATAAAATAAATTATATATACACATTGATGTCGATTCTGGCATTATTCTCTAAAGCTAAACTTAAATTTGACAACAGTGCATCCTTGTCGTTCTCTGTACAGAATGAAAAGGAGAGACTGATGTTAAATTTAGTTTTAAGTTTAGAGAAACACGCCAGAATCGACGTCATTATTTGGTTATTACATTTTACGCATTTAACGCTAAATGAAGAGAAACATTTTTCAGTAAATATTTTCTAAAGAAAAGTTTACTAGAAAAAAAATCCACGCGGACCAGGCAGCGGACGGGACTCGAACCTGCACCCGCACCCTTCGCAATCCGGGCGAATGCACTGACCATTATGCTACCACGGCCCTATTCGCCGCGTCGAAATTTTCCTAGCCTTAAGCTGCAAGGCAGCGCCGTGGTAGCATAATGGTCAGTGCATTCGCCCGGATTGCGTAGGGTGCGGGTTCGAGTCCCGTCCGCTGCCTGGTCCGCGTGGATTTTTTTCTAGTAAACTTTTCTTTAGATTTAAACATCTAGCTGTTAAATACTTAAAAAATAAATAAAAACATAAATATTTTCTTTAAATATTAATTAGTTGTTTAGTAGTTGATTGTTTTGTACGTTTGTGTGTCCCAGCATCGAGTTACGCGCAACAAAGTGCTGGACTGCTGCAGCGCTAGAGCTTTATGCGTCAGGAACTTAGCGCCGCGCAGCGCCAAACATTCCTCGTACGTACCACCAAATACATAATAATAAATAAAAAAAATGGATGCGTGTAACTTATGTACGCGCGTGAGAAGTTATACTTCTTTAGCATCATTAAAAATATTTTTTAATTTCACTTTCATCATTTTTTCATAACGCGCCCGCGGCTAACTTCATTATGTTACTTTTGTGTTACAGTGATGCGCGCGCATCTTAAAATTTCACTCTCATAATTTTTTCATAACGCGGCTAAAGAAGTATAACTTCAATAATAAATATTACCAAACGCTCACACCAATTAGCCTAGTCCCAAAGTAAGCACTATAAGGCTTGTGTTATGGGATACTAGGGTAATGGATAGAATACATATACAGTACATATATAAGTATATAGAAATACATATTAAACATCCATGACTGGAGCACAAATGCTCGTATTCATCACACAAATATCTGCCCCCACCGGGACTCGAACCCGGGACCTCTCGAGTCAGCGACACCTTGAAACCCGGCGTACAAACCACTCGGCCACGGAGGTCGTCATATACAGTCGAAACCGGATATAACGACATTGAAGGGACCATATAACTTCGGATGTTCAAACTCAAACTCATTTATTCAGTCTAGGCTGTTACAAGCTCTTGAGAAAGTCAAACGCTACGCCATCGGTTCGTAAATCTACGGCGGGAGACCTTGTACTGAGAAGAACCGGCAAGAAACTCAGCAAGGGATATTTTTTTCTCCCTGTTTTGTTTCAAACAGTGTCGTCAATTGAAAGATGACATCAAAAATTGAAAACATGTGTTGATGTCAACTTTCATCACATTAATATTATTAATTAACAAAAGTCAAGTATAGCTAGGTACTACTTTTAAATTTAGAAGTGGCGATTAAACAATTTTCAAACAAATCAGCAAAGTAAAACGACTTAGTCTGTTATATTAAGCCCAAGTGACTTATCATTTATGAAATCTTTAACAGTATAGTAACCTTTCTTAAGGAAACATGTTTTTATAGACACTTTAAACTTATTGAAAGGTAAGTTAATTAGTTCGTATTTCGTTATGTCCGATGGTTGTTATAAGCAATATACAAAAGTAGTCATATTATTGTCATAATGTATGTATGTAGTATGGTATATGGGGCCGTCCATATATTACGTCATTCTAAATTAGGGGGGGGGGGGGGTTTGGTCTGCGGATGACGGTAAATGATAGATAGGGGGGGGGTTGTTTCGAAATTGACGTCATTCTTATTTATTTATTTATAGTTTACTAGCTGACCCAGCGAACTTAGTACCGCCCTAAAAAAATAGGGGTTGTCCAGCGGACAAAATTGTGAATCTAAACCATTCTCAGATCCCCTTGAACACACACAAAAAATTTAATCAAAATCGGTCCAGTCGTTTAAGAGAAGTTCAGTGACATACACACTCACAGAAGAATTATATATATAAAGATTGATCACGTACAAAAAGATTATTTCTAAAAAGAAATTTCTTCCAGCACACCTAGTAAGTGAGACTGCAAATGTGAGAGGCGGCTAAGGCGCGTAGAATACTAAAATAACTCATAATAAACATACATAATGCAACATAGATGTACACAAATACAGTAATAACTACAGATAAAATACTCTAACAATAATATTACATACTAGTGGCCTGCCCTCGCTTCCCTTCGGTGTAGAGCTGTAGTGTAAACTATAGTTTTTGTTCTCAGGCTTGTGCTATAAACAATGACTTTATTTATATAATTACACGTGTTATTGTGAGTCAACCATAAAAGATAGACATATGCTGTTGCGGGATATTTTTTTAGAAAATTTTATGTAGATTTTTTTTTTTTTTTTTTTTTTATTATTTTATTGATAGGTCCGACAAATGACTCCACCCCACCTGATGTTAAGTGAAGGTGAAGTCCAGACGTGACGATAGCTGATACAGCAGTTTTACCTGCCACACCAGCCATCCTCACCCTGCCGGCCTGCATGTTGCTTCTTCACGCCTCTTTTAAAGGATCCCAGGTTGTAAGAGGGAGGGAACACGTGAGCGGGCAGAGCATTCCATTTACGGATAGTGCGACAAAGAAATGAGTCACCAAATTTCTTTGTACGCGTTGGAATTGTGGCCACAGTTAGACGATGACAACGTAGGCCAGCGCGCGTGGTCCTCTGAAGGAAAGGAGAAGGTGGGATAAGAGAGAATAACTCCTCAGAACACTCGCCGTGGTACAGACGATAGAACGCGCTTAGTGACGCCACGTCACGGCGTAATTGAAGAGGCTCAAGGTGTTTAGTCACCTCCTCATCGCCTATGATGCGGATCGCGCGTCGCTGTAACCTATCCAAAGCATCGAGCAAGTACTTGGCGGAGCCATCCCAGAGGTGCGAGCAATATTCCACGCAGGACCGCACTTGCGTTTTGTACAACAAGCACAGTTGATCGGGCGTGAAAAAACGCCGCACCTTGTTCAGGACTCCGAGTTTGCGTGAAGCTGTTTTGATCACGGTTTCGATGTAGTTCTTTGGATTCAGGTCTGAGCGAACTTCCATACCGAGCATGGAAATGTTGCTCTGCAGCGGTAGTGTTGTGCCCTGAAGAGATGGAAGAGGAAGGAATGACGATGTTTTTGCCGTGAAAGCGCAAGCCTGAGTTTTTTTGGCATTGAACTCAACCAAGTTCCTGGTACCCCCATTCGGAAATGTGGTCCAAAGCCTGATTGAGTTCAATGACAAGATTCTCGCGTTTCTCCTTGGTTACCGCCAGCCCAGCCGCTGCTTGTCCGAGATACCCCGCATGCACTGTACTATCGTCTGCATAGCAATGAATATTCCCAAGAGGAATTAAGTCATTGATATGCAGCAGAAAGAGAGTGGGGGATAGGACGGAGCCCTGGGGAACGCCGGCATTCACTGACATGAACCGCGAACTGCTACCATCCGCAAGGACACGAATTCTACGCTCATGCAGGAAGTCAGCTACCCAAGAACAGAACTGGGCTGGCAGACCGTATGCCGGAAGCTTGGAGAGAAGGCTTTTGTGCCAGACCCTGTCAAACGCCTTGGCAATGTCAAGGCTGATAGCCAACGACTCGCCACGCTTGTCGATAGCCTCACCCCAGATATGAGTTAAGTACGCTAGAAGATCACCCGTCGATCGTTTCGGTCTAAAACCATATTGACGATCATTAATCAAGGAGTGATCCTCTAGGTAGCGGGTCAGATGGTTATTAAGGACCTTTTCTAAAACTTTACATAAAAGTGAGGTGACTGCTATTGGCCGGTAGTTTGCCGGGTCTGAGCGATCCCCTTTTTTGGGCACCGGTTGCACATTGGCATCTCTCCAAGTCTCCGGCACACGCCCCAAAGAATACGAGCATTGGTACAAGCGCGTGAGCACGGGAGACAACTCCGCTGCACATTTTTTGAGTACTACTGCTGGGATGCCATCAGGTCCACTAGCTTTCCGGACGTCGAGTGATTGCAATTCGGCACGAACCTCGCGCTGCCTGATTTTAATATCAGGCATCGTTGTGCCACAGTGAGGTAATGATGGTGGCAGTGCATTGCAATCATCGATTCGGGAGTTAGCCGCAAAGAGTTTTGCCAGTAAATCGGCTTTCTCCTGCGGCTTATGGGCTAGTGTTCCGTCTGGGCATCTCAGAGGTGGCAGCGAGGGCTCGCAGAAGTTTTTTTGCACGGCCTTGGCCAGACGCCAGTAGCTACGGGAACCCGTAGGATGCGTCATAAGTTCCTGGCCAACACGTGCAACGCGCTGGGCATCCGCTCTAATGTAAGCCTTCTTACAGGCCTTGGAAGCAAAATTGTAGGCTGCTTTGAGTGAATCGACCTCGGGATCCTTGAGAGCGCGACCTCTGATCCAAGCACGATATGCCGCTTGCTTACGCGAAGCAGCTTCAGCACAGTCGTGATTGAACCAGAGGTTACGCGTGCCCTTACTGATGAGATCAGAATGAGGAATATAGTATTCCATACCCATTATAATCTCCTCAGTAATGGCAACGGCACTGGCCGATAGGTCCCTGTCACTGAAGCAGCGCTGCTTCCAAGGGACGGACGCAAAGTAGTCACGCATACCGTCCCAATCTGCCGACCCATAATGCCAGATACGGCGCTTGACCACTGCTGGACGCGGAGGCTTGGCCTGTGGTGCTTTGGCAGATATCAGGCAGTGGTCTGACGAGCCCAGGGGGGCTCTTAGCACAACCTGATAGCCCTGTGGATGGGTCGTGAGCAGAAGGTCCAGTAAAGAAGGCGCTTGACTTGGAATATCTGGGATCCTGGTGGGCTGATCAACCAGTTGCTTCAAGTCATGCGTGAGAGCGAATGCGTGAGCAGAGATCCCTGCATGGTCAGTTTTGGAGGAACTTAACCACATATTGTGGTGAGCATTAAAGTCCCCCAAAAACACCAATTCTGCATTGGGAAATTGTTCCTGCGCGTCATCTGCTGCCCGACTAAGGTGTTCAAAAAGTCGAGTTGTCTCAACATCGCCGGTGTGGGATCTGTAGAGACACACGTAAACTCTGGCCAGGGGGCCAGAGTCGACGTGTACCCCCAGCATGGAGAAGGAGGGATCTTCCAAGCAGCGGAGACGGCGACAACAAACATCCGCCCGAACATACAGGCATACACCGGCTTTCGCTTTGAAGGACTCTTCAAGCACGTAGCCGGGATAATTAAGGTAGCCTGTGTCAGCAGGCGGAAGTATTTGTGTCTCCGTCAGGAACAACAATGCTGGCCGTGCTGTCTCAAGATGGTGGTGGACAGCGTTGAGGTTAGAGTGGAGTCCGCGTATGTTGCAGAACTCGACCTCAGACAGCGTTGAAGGCGTGGGGGTGTGCACCGCTGAACGTCCAAACTTTGTTTTAGGAGCTGCCATTATGGAAGTGAAAAAGAGACGTGAAACGAGTGGACGTTGTCGCGACAAGACCGGGCAAATTAGGGAGGCATGTTTCCCCGAATGATTGCCTGCAGAGGATATACGCCGACCCGCCGGACGG